TAGCTCCCTGAGGTGAAGGAGGCAGGGTGGGGACTTATTCCCCTTTCACTGTGGGACCCCCCAGCCAGGGTCTTCCTGACCAGGGTGGAGCAGCCCATCAGGCATTCCCTGCCTTTGCTGCTCAAGCGCCAGGGGTGTGTTGCCAGCCCTGTCAGGAGCCTGAAGCTAACAGGGGGAGGGAGGGGGATTTCATTCCGTCCCCGGCCCCCCCAGCCCCACTGGAATGAACCCCAGCTGAGTCTGCCTGGCTGGGGCACAGCAGCCCATAAGCCCCCACCCCCCGCTGCTCTGGTGGCAGCATTTGGGGGATGGCCAGATGCCAGCCCACATGGCAAAGGGGACAGGAAGGTGTTTATTCCCCCCTCCGGCTGGTCCTATTTGGGAACTGCAGCCAGGGTCTGCCAGCTCTAGCCCCTGCCACTTCCACCCAGCCAGGCAAACCCTGGCTGGGGTTCCCTGGGGGGAGAGGGGAGGGAGGGGGGAATAAGCCCCCTCCCTGCCCCCTTCGCCTCAGGGAGCCATACTAGCTGGTGTCTGGCTACACTCCCGCTCCTGCCACTGGAGCAGAGATGGGAGAGAGACCCTGACCCTGAGGGCAGCAGCCCCTGTCATGGTGTCCTGGGGAGTGCAAGCCTCTTTGTGGGGGTGGGGGTAGGCTGCAGGTGAGACTGGGCAGGGCATAGCTGCCACAGCCTGCACAGGGCTAGCGGTGACAGCAGCACTAGAGGAGACTGGGGGGGCTATGGCCACCCCAAAATTCAGCTTGGCTCCTATAGCCATCCCTCCAACCCGCACTGCCGCCACTTACCCTGTGCAAGTGCAGCATCTCTGCCCACCCCACTTGCACCTACAGCACAGCCCTCCCACCAGGAAGAGGTTTGTGCTCCCCAGGACACCATGACACAGGCTGCTGCCCTGTCAGGTTCTCTCCCCACTTGCTGCTCCAGTGGTGGGGGTATGGCCAGACACTGGCCAGCATGGCTCCCTGAGGCAAAGGGGGCAGGGAGGGAATTTATTCCCCCTTCCCTCCCCTCTCCCCCAGGGAACCCCAGCTGGGGTCTGCTGCTTGCACCCGGCCAGTCAGATGCAGCGGCTGGAGCTGTCAGACCCCAGCTACAGTCCCCCAGTGAGAGCAGGTTTGGAGGGAGGAATAAACCTCCTCCCTGCCCCTTCTGCCATGCTGGCCGGGGTCTGGCCGTGCCTCCGCCCCTGCTGCTGGAGTAGCAAGGGTAGGTGTGGCCTTGAAAGGGGAGGGAGGGGGGATTAACTCTCCTTCCCTCCCCCTCATTTGCTTCAGGCTGCCACTGGGGCTGGCCACACCTCCTGCCACTTAAGCAGACCCCAGCTGGGGTCCTGGGAAGGAAGGGGGAATAAGTCTGCCACCACTCCTGGAGTCAGACAGCTGATACAATTTTGTGTTGTGGGATTAGCATGGTGCAAATCCTGGGACTGAGGGAAAGCAGATATGACTTAAAGGCAAGGATTTTTTGTGGGCTGTATCTTTTAATGGACAAACTGCTTGGCTGGGATAAAATTAGGCAAGGTTTTGAAAGCAAGGCATTCTTCATCAGGTCACCTTCATCAGGACCTGCCTTGCATTTCAGAAGCTTGTGTAACTTTATACCAGCTACATAGTTGGTCCAATAAAAGATAGCACCAACAAAAGTCCTTGCTCCCTGCTCTCTCAATTTCTGGACCATCACAGCTATGTCACTCTCACATTTGAAGATGTTTTTGCCCTTAGTCCCCCTTTCTTAATTATGCTATATGCACTCTAACTTTTGGGCTCGTGGCTCACATTTAACACTTTAATGCTTTACCTAGTCTGTTCCAGGGTGTTTACTTCTAACCTGTTTATAATTTGTTTTCTTTTATTCTTAATGGGAGATTCATGACAAGGAAATCCATTGCAAGTGGTAGGTAATCAAAATTGGAGTAGTTAACTTTATGAGCTATAGTCAAGGTATAAACTGTGTAACATCTACATTCTTGAACTGCTGGTGTAGATATGGAAAATAAACAGTGTTTCTTTCTCCTCACTGATGCTGATATTCTAACTTGTACTGAATTGTTCAGTATTTGTATTACAGTAATGCCTAGAATCTTTAGTCAGGGATTAGTGTTTCATTATGATAGGCAGTCTGTAAAGGCCTTGACACATGCCAGTTACCCTGTGACTGTGGTTAGTATTTATATTACTCATTCAAATGGACAAGGGGGATACTGATTAGATGAAAAAGATACCTTTCTGTTGGTATATAAAGTTGTTTTTGAGGTATTTTACAGGCAGTTTTAAGGAAGTAAAATAAAACTCTTCTTTCAGATCATCAATATCTGATTATCCAAGGATCATATTGTTGCTTTTTTCAGTTAAAATCTAAAATGAAATCCCTACTGAATTGTGAAATTTATTTATGAACAAGGATTTCTATTTACTATACACAAAAATATAAATAACTACTGCTGTATGTCATTTTTTTGCTTTTAAAGACTTATTTTGTTTTTTGTAGACTCCAGAGAAGAAACAGTCAGAACCTTCCAGAGGAAGAAAGAGGAAGGCAGAGAATCAGAGTGAAAGCAGTCAAGGTAAACCAAAATCTTCTGAATAATATCAAATGAGATGGATATTGCATTCATTTAATCAAATGACAGATGCATTAGTACAAGACTTGGCAAGTAGATTTTGAGTCAGGACTGGTAATTTCATCTGAGAAATGTCCAGGGTTGCATTTAGTTCTTACAGGGATTTCATTCTGCCTATTTGTTCAGAATGCTATCAGTTTTCATTTAGAGTGTCTCTGTAGGTAGTTTTTCTTTCAGGAGATAGGGAGAAAAAATTGTTTTTAATGTTCAATTGCTTACTCTGCAGAAGAATATTCATAATCATCTGAAGTGGCATTCTCCCTCTCCCACACAAAAATAAACCTTCATTGGAAGAGGATTAGAGGATTTGGGGAATCAGTAGATTGAAATAGATTACTTGTATTCTAGATTGCATATCTGAATCCCACCAGAATTAATTATTACACAGTATGTCTTTGGCCTTTCTGGAATCTTTGGTCTCATTCCTCTTCCAACTCAGCAAGCATATACTTGTCTCCCAGGACACCATTATAATTGGCATAAATTATTAATACCCTTTTGGACCCAAAGGAGGGTTCACTGAACTACTGTCTCTTGCTTTGAGGTCTCTCTGGGTAAACTTCCAGTGCTAGGAAGAAAGGGAGGGCTAAGGGAAAAAAAGGAGTGAATTAGCCTTTAGGGTTTCTGTTTGAATTTCAGTAACTGCAACTGCATAAGCCAGAATCTGTAAACCTCATTTTCTTGTCTTGGTTATTTGCGGAGTTAATTTATGTGCATATGTTGGGGGGAGGTGTGGAGTGTTTTTGCAGTTTTTTTGTCGTCTCTGAATTGATACTTCGATATTTTACCATGTACTGGATAGACTTGATAACAAGGCAGTTCAGTTCAAACTACACAGAATTAGTCCTGATTATCAGGGGTTTTTTTGTTAACATACTGTGGCAGTGCTGCTGCTAGCTGCTGATTTCCTCACCAAGCGTACTTACAAGGCTACCAGACTTAACTGACCGTTGTAGAAGTTGAACCCTGTAGAGTTGCAGTCCAGAGACAATCAGGAAACCTATTCTGGTACATGAAGGAATAGAATGTCAGTTGATTAAAGGAAAGTAGGGCTAACCAAAAGCCTTTAAAATAAATAAACAAATAAAAGACAAGAAGAAGTGTTTGACAAATATTACTTGTACCAGGAAATGACCACAAGAGGAGGATGGTGCCCTTCAATATTGAGTCTTTGTAGAGAGGCAAGGAAAGAAGAGCAATTAAAGATAGAAAATTCCTTCAAATGGAAATTTGACCTGCCATAGATATACAAGAGCAGTTTGTATTTTGGAATGGAGAGATCAATAATTTGAGAATGTTTATGTTAAAATGCTTCTAATGTACTTGAAACCATATTGATTGGATATGGTTATGACACCTTGAGTCTCTGGAACTGGTTTCTGAACACGAACACCCCCCGCGCGCGCGCGCGCACGCACGCACGCACACACACACAGAGTAACATCTTAACAACATCCGAATTTAAGGTTTTAGGTTTTCTTTGCAGGAAGTAGTGATGGCATTAACATGGAGAGCTGCATTTCGTGTACTTTGCCATGTTAATGTTGTCAGTAGTTAAAAAACCTGAAACCTAGAATAGGATGGGTAAGGAAGTAAGTGGCTTGCATTTTAAAGCAATCTATTTTTAAAAATTCTCTTTTTACACTGAAGTTATTCCAGGAAAAATTTAGAATCTGTTGTAAATACTAATTTCTGCCCTAGCTCTTTGTCTATCACAGTCTTTCAGTGATATAGAGTAGGGATGTGAAATATGACCCTTTGGCTAGATCTGGCTTACAGAGATGTTCTTCCTGGCCAGTTAGTCTGTTGGGAGGCTACTGGAAGTAGCCACAGAATTCAGGGCCTCTTGGCCCCACTGGCCATGGCCATTGGCAGTGAGCTTGGCTTGCCATCATTGTCCCAGGCCCCTCCACCAGAGTCACTGCCTCCAGACCTGCCACCACAGTCAGACCCTTCACTCCTACTGGACCTGCCACAGTGGTAGCAGCAGCTGCCTCCTACCCTAGGCTGAATTCAGCTAGCAAGGAGCCCTGCAGTCTGGATTCAGTTTGAGGTCCCCCAATTGAGTTTGAAGCTTCTGCATATAGAGAATAATTCAGATAGACTTTGCCTGGCAATAATACTAGCATAAAAAAGCCAGTGCCTTAAACAGCCTGACTAAAAATCCCTCTTTCTTAAATTATTCCTCTCTCATCATCTTAACTTATAGTTGTTTTGCAAAGCCCATGTCGATGAAAAAATAATTTGGAAAAGTCTCCCGCTGTTGTTTTTCTAGTACTCCCATCATTTTTGTCAGGCATAGGATTGATCAGTGGTAGCAAAAGTGAAAAATTTAGAAATTTTGTAGCATAAACAACATAATAGCAAAAATCCCACAAAAACTTTTTATACCAGTGGCACTAGAAGAACCAGATAATTTCCATTTCAAACTCGTGAAAGAACTGTTGTGCACAATCACAGGTTTGGTAGCAAATATATTTTATCAAATTGGGAAGGTACTTTATAAGTGGAGCAGAGCAAAGATAGGTATTTCATTTAAGGAAGTGATCTGAGTAACTACAGGCCCATTAGGCATACCTCAGTAGTATATAGGTATATAGTTAGGTAGACATCCAAGAGGGAACTGTGGAAAGGTCATGGCATGGATATACTGTAGTGAATGAAGAAGTACAAAAACGCCATTTGCACAAATTTGTTTCATGATGAAATTTTAGGGATTGTTTACACTGGTCCTCCCACATTACATGGCCCTGGTGAGACCTCAGCTGGAGTACTACATCCAGTATTGGAGCGCCCCCCACTTCAGGAAGGATATGGAGAAGCTTGAGAGAGTCCAGAGGAGAGCCACTCGTATGATCCAAGGCTTAGAGGGTGGGCTGTACAAGGAAAGGCTGAGGGACTTGAGACTGTTCAGTCTGGAGCAGAGAAGGCTCAGGGGGCACTTGATGGCAGCCTACAATTGCATAAGAGGGGTGCACCAGGACCTGGGAGAATAGCTGTTCACGAGAGCTCCCCAAGGGATAACAAGGGCATGAGAAAAAAGTTCTTTATGGTGCAAGTGTCCAGGGTCTGGAACAAACCCCCCCAGAGGGGGGGCAAGCCCCTACCCTGGGCTCCCAAAACCAAAAAAAAAAAAAAAAAAAAAAAAAAAAAAAACCAGGTGGATATGTTTCTTGCTGGGGTCACTTGATCCCAGCTGACTTCCTGCCTATGGTGTGGGGGCTGGACTCAATGATCTCATGAGGTCCCTTCCAGCCACTAATGTCTGTGAAATCTATGAAAAAAAGGGGAGGGGTATTGTTATCGGAGAAAATAGTGCTGTTGGGGAAGTATTGGGAGTTTTTTGAAGGGGGCACATCACACAGTCCATTCACTGCCTCTTGCTACATGTTTAGTTCCTGCAGCAGTCACTGCAGTGTGGCCCAGGAACTCGACTACCTGTCAGTGCTCCTCTCTTTCCTCCCCGCCACCCCTAACATGATTTCTAAATTAAAGCCAGGTACTTGCTCTTCTGTCACCTATTACAGTTCTCTCAGTTGTACTAACAAAGTTTTGGGGAGTAGGGATGGGACTGCTTGCTAGTGCCCAGATGGCATTTTTTCATTTGTAGTCCTCTTCAGTTCAAGAACATGGAGACGGGATGATGGGGGAACCATAGAAAGGGCTGAGTAGCTGTTTAAATGTTATTCATGCAGAGCTAACCTCTTCATGAGGTCACAGGACATATGAGTACTGAAGGAGGGGGAGGCATGTTCATGCTAACTGCTGCTCTTCAAGGAAACTGACTAAGAATGGGTTAATAAAGATGCAATACTGTGGAACTGGTGCAGTTTCTGTTCTGGATTGAATGTGTTCAACTATTTAGTTGTCAAGAAAACAGGCTCGTATATTTAAACAGGCTTCTATGTACAGTCTCCTATATTTAATGATTCCAAGCTTTATAAACAAGATGGCACCTGAATGTTGATACAAAAAACTGACCAACCTCTTGCAAGAACAATGAAAGCAACCATTTAAATTAAGATTATCCTATGAATTACCCAGCAAATGCTCTTTCAGCAAGATTCGTCTGCAGTCATAATATTGAACACATAATGCAAATTGTCCAAGAAAAGTTTAAATGAATTGCTTCGTCTGGCAGTATTTAAAGATGGGTGGACAACTGTACAAAGCCAAGGGTTCATAAACTTTATGATAAAACACCTCAACCAGTTTTTTACAAGAACATTGAATCAGGAGAAACTTCAGGGCAAATGAGTAGTGAAATATAGAAGTACTAGAGAAGATTGGAAAAAGGGGAAGTATTTGCTTCAGTGACTGACAGTAAAATGAAAGCAGGATGGGACATCATAATGGAAAATGTCTACGTTTTACTACACTAAAGCATGTCTCTGAAGGCCTAAACCTGACTCTTAATGATTCCCTGAAGTTGGGCATGCTGGGAAAGTCGTATAAAAGCTCAAAATAAGTTTATAAAACATGCAAAAACTACATCTGTTGTAGCCGCAGTCTTTAAGAAGAAAAACCTAGGAAGGATAGAAAAGTTAAGCGGAAACTTTCTAGAAAAGTAAGACTGGGAAATGTGATGTCACTTTAAAATGCATTTAGAAAAAGAAAGCAGGTCATCGAGAAACGGTGATAAATGAAGATGTTAATATAATTAAAAGTGAATGACACTTTTTGACGAGAAATGTTTTCTGGGTTCATCTGCAGAACTCTCATAAAGTTCTACAAAATGTTGCTTCTGAGATTCTTACTACATTGGAATCGGACACAACACTGATGTCAGACATTCCTCAATTTATGGCCAAGGCAGTCAACTTTTTGAGAATCAAAGAGCATCTCCACTCAAAAATCAGGAAGAAGTAAGACTGACTTTATTCATAGATGGGAAGAATTCTGCAGCCAGCCAACATGCTAATTCAGATTTAGTGAATCCAGGGTTCAAAGGTGGTATTGTTAGTAATGGATAGGATTGTTACAGCATTTGACTGGATTACTAAACAAACCCCACATTTAGGGCTAGATGTTGGAAAAGTGCTTTCAAATGTTGCTTAATCCCAGACCCTCTTCTGGTATTTGGTTCAGGAGTTCAGTTTGGAAATCTGCCAACTCTTGTGTTTCTATAACATGTTGGCAAGGACTTTTCACAGTACAACCTCTGACTTTTTTACAGTACAACATCTGACTCCACATCTATTTCAGAATCTTCTATCTTCAGTTTCTGAAAGAAACTGGTCAGTGCTTGGAAATACGTATGTAACAATCCCTACAAAGGCTAATGTAAAAGAGTGAAAAAGTCTGTTTTAATTTATGCTATTCATTCTGGTGAGAAGTCATAAGGAAAAACTTTAGTTATTAACATATTTTTCGAAATGCTAACACAACTTAACTGTTTGTCATTCTGATTTATAGGATAGATAGTTTTGCCGCTATTTATGACAACTATGTATGATGATAACTCCATTAAAAAGCTAGGTGTTTAAAGTTAAGATATTTATGCAAATTTTCTCTTTTATCTTTTTTTATACTGTGCTGTGTTAACCATATCATAATGACTGTGTATAGGGAAGTGTAATTTTCTGAATGTTGTCTTTAGAAACATAAGTTTGTTCTGTCTTTATAATATAGGTAGCTGACACTCATGATTAAACCCCAAACCCAGCACTTTACCGGAAGAGGAAACGCTTTAGTTTGACCCAGCTCACCAGCATCTGTATAGATTGGACACTTCAGCAGGGCTTTTTGGCACTTTTTTTTTCTAAAGCTGATTCAATCAGCTATTAAATAAAAGCACCAAAAAGCCCCGGTGAAGCGCATAATCTGTACAGGCATTGAGTGAGGTGGGTCAAAGTAATGTGTTGCTTCTTTTGGACACATGCTGCACTTGGTGTGGGAGCACACAGATGAAAGTAAAGCGCTGGTGATTTCCCACATTCCTCCTCCCCTCATATCTGTAAGCAGCCATAGGGTTTATTTAGGATATTTTTTTCTGGTCTTCTGTATGCATTAGAAGCCAAGAGACAAACCCTCATTCTGCTCTCCTTTTCGGGTGATTTCTTCAAAACTTTTTAGCTGATGACAGATAAGATGGGATTTTACGTGAAAGGGTCTCTCCCCCTTTCATGCATGTAAATGTTCTTCTTAACTCCTCCCCTGCCCCGCTCCCCCTACAAGCTGAATCTGGAGCGGAGGGGTGGAGATGGAGAAAGATATGAAATGCTGCAGTTGTTTAAAACTGTTTTTGCTCAAACCATGACAGATAGGGTGTAGATGAATTTAAGGGAAGGGAAATTTAACCAAAGAACCACTCAAAGAACATGCAAGAATTTACTAAACCACTTCATTAAGTATGCCTGCTTAATTAGGATTATTTCACAATTATGGATTCAGTATGTTCCAAAAACTCTAAGCATTAGTTAATGGCAGAATAAGTCAATTTAAGTTGGGTTCAGTTAATGTGTTGGGCTGGTCGCCATAAAGTCTCAACATGTTTGTTACAATACAGCTGAGATGAATATGTCATGCCACTGGGTGCAGTGCAGATAGGAACAGATTAGTTTAAAGTAAGTTTTTCTCTGATTCCTCCTTCTATTCATAGTTTTAATTTTCCTGGTTTCTTATGACTTCTGAGGAAACCATTTTGCTCCTAATATATAATATAAATTAGTTATATGCATTTAAAAGAATTAATGATGGGAGAGGAGGGAATATCATTCAGGATACTACTTTGTGCTGGTTGTAACAAGTTAGTAAGTGTTTATAATCAGACATCTGTCTACCATAGTGTGGTGATTAAAGTGGGTTCTGTAGTAGCTGCAGAACAGATGCACCTTTATAGTACCATTTATTGTAAATTAAGGAACAAAAGCATATAGAAGGGTCATGCTTTAGACATCTTGTGTATAGTCTGTTGCAAAAACAAATCCAGGTATATCTTCCCAAAGTTTTTTTTTCTGTAGCTTGGTTCCCCAATGACAGCAACTAGTTATCTTCTGGTGCCCAGCAGTGAGGACTGTGGAAGACCAAAAGATAAGCATGTTTCAGGCACTTTTTTTCCAGTGTCTTCCTTTCATTGATGAAAGTAGCAACTTCTTGTAGTGAAGGACTAGTTTTAGGGCTCAAGTTCAGGCACTTTAGTATGTTGGGAGATGGTAAAGAGAATTCTGATCGACAGCCTCTTGGCAGAGGAAAATATAACCTGATATTTGCCGTGTCATAGAATCATAGAGAAGTAGAGCTAGAAGGGACCTCCAGAGGTCATCTAGTCCAACCCCCTGCTTAAGGCAGGATCATCCCTATCCAAAACATTCTATAAAATCCATAATCTAAACTCTGCATAAAGCTACCATCAACCCTGATAGGCAGACATAACACCCTCACCTGCCATAGGTAAAGCAGGAACACCTCCAGTGATGGAGAGTGTATCATTTTCCTAGGCAGTCTATTCCACTGCCACACTGTTCTAACAGTGAAGACGGGTTCTGATATCCAGTCTAAATGTACTTTGCTGCAACTTCAAGCTATTGGTCCACATCCTCCTCTGCAGCAGGAGAAAAAAAATGCTTTCCCTGTTCTTGACACCTCTTCAGGTATTTGAAGACTGCTGTCATGTCTCTTCTTAAGCAACTTTTCTGGAAGCTGAACATGCCTAGCTCCTTCAGCCTCCCCTCATAACTTGCTTTCCAAGTTCTTTATTATCTTTCCCCACCTCTGTACTCTGTTACTTCTCCACATCCTTTTTAAAATGTGGAGCCCAGAACTGCACGCAGTATTTCAGATGAGACCTAACCAGTGCTTAGTAGAGACACTGTCACCTCCAGTGTCTTGCACCTAATGTTACTATTGTTGCAGACCAAAACCACATTTGCCTTTGTGTGACTGCAGACTTGTATTGAGTCTGTGATCTACCAAGACTCCCAGATCCTTTTCTGTAGTGCTGTCATCTAGCTAGGTGTCACCTTTTATATTAATGTTTTTAATGATTTTTTTTCTGAGGTGTAGCAGCGTGTATTTGTCCACATTGAACTTCATCCTGTTAGCTCTAGTCCAGCTTTCCAATCTGTTGAGAACCTCCTGAATTGTGCTCACATCCTCCAGTGTTCACAGTCGTTCCCAGTTTCATGTCATCTGCAGACTTGCTCAAGAAGCTTTCTATGCCAGCATCCAAATCGTTAATAAACACATTGATCAGCACCAGGCCCAGGAGAGAGCCTGTGGGATTCCCCTCAAAACCTCCTGCCATTCTGATATAGACCCATTAATAATTACTCTTTGCTTTTAGATACTGAGCCAGTTATTTCTTCACCAGTAGTTTTATCCAACCCACATTTCTCCAATTTGTTTATGAGAAGGTCACATGGGACGTTGTCAAAAGCTTTGCTGCAGTCCAGGTGCACTGTATCCACAGTATTCTCTTCATCCACCCAAGTAGTTACTTTGTCAAAGAAGGAGATTATTTTATTGACATTTGTTTTTCATTATAAATCCATGCTGGCTCCTTGTGATCCACCAGGTGCTTGCAAATGTCCTTAGGATATGCTCCAATAACTTCCCAGGTATTGAGGTGTGAGGCTAACTAGTCTAGTTCCCTGCGTCCTCCTTTTTTGCTCCCCCCCACCCCTTTTTTTTAAAGAAGGGCTTCTGTTCCCATCAGAGCGCTCCCACTAGAACTATCTAAAATGTCCAGAACAGTAGAGGAAAAGAGCTATGAGGCTTCTTCCAGATTTCTTCTCTTACCCATCGCTTCCATTGCAGGTTAAAAAAAAAAAAATAGTGAGGCATGTCTTAGGGCTTATTTAGGCCCATGTCTTAAAGTGTCTTTGGAGAAGTCCATGATGCTCTCTGCTTTGGTGCATCTTAACGTACTTTCTTTGAGAGTGTTCTTTTGTAGCAGTCAACAGCTTGGGACAGAATTTTTAGCATTTGTTTGCAATCAATACTACTTTGTTCCCTAAGGAGAACTTTATAATTTGTACTTTTCTCTGCTTCCTTATTAAAGTAGTTTAATCTATTCACCTTTATAAGGAGAGTTTCCTCCCCAGCTTCTGTTCTTTTACCAAGGTGGAAAAGAGATCCTCTGGTACTTGTGTGTATGTATGACAGTGAACTATGTACCTGCTCCAGACACAGTCTCCCTTCATAGCCTGTGGTTTTCTGCAGTTATTATTTAACGTACCTTTTTTTGCATGGACGACAGCACATCCAGACTCATGACCCCACTGCTGGTATGGGCTTGAGTGCCATAATTTGAATTTCACTGTGGCTTGCAAATGTACGCTGACTTAAAAGGGAGAAAGCAATACCATCTGTTCAGTTAAATGATATTCCTTCTTCCCCTCTGTTCAGACCCTTACTCCTTTTTTTTCCTTTTTCCCATGTCACAGCCCCCTGAGGGTTGGTGGCTAATTATTTTTCTGTTTGTTCTGAGGTTGGTATTGCTAATCATGTTTATCATTCTCATTGTTTTTACCCACTCAGGCAGATTCATAATCTGATCTCTCTCCCAAAATTCATCTCAGAAGGAACATAGTATAGGCTAACTAGTTTATTTGACTTACTGTGGCTAGGGAATCTGGAGAGGGGGAGGCTCTTGGAACCAAATTTCAGGCCTGTCAGCATCAGATGCACTGATAGGGGATGGACTTTTGTTGCAAAGGTACTGGACTGGGAGCCAGGAGAACTGATTATATTTCTGACTTCTTTGCTTGATGCTTTTTACGTGCATTGAATAGTAGGTCAGAACCTGTGCCTAGTTGCACATTTGTTTATTTTTAAAAGGATTAATCATATTTAATTGCCTAATAAAGATTATGTACATTATTCAGTTGTGTGTTAATTACAGCACTGCTGTAATTTAATTTAAAGAGTCATTTAATCTCTCTCTCTCTCTCTCTCTCTCTCTCTCTCTCTCTCTCTCTCTCTCTCTTTCTAAATTTCAGGAAAAAATATTGGGGGACGTGGTCACAAAATTAGTGACTATTTTGAAGTAAGTTTTGTGCTTTATTTCTGTAATGTTGCAAACAACAGTAGACAATACCGTATTAAGTTAATAAACCTGCAAACATAAATGTAAGAATGCTAACTATAAAGGCTGAAGACTATTTATATTCAGTAACCTTCCTTTATTTATGTCGAACATTCAAGTCTTGACAATACTGTGTGCTTGCAATTTTTTAATGTGTATGATGATTACTAGAATGGATGGGGATTTGGTCTTTGAGGGAATATTTATGATCATCTATAAAATAATACAAAATTCTATTTATGAGATCTGAAAATAACAGTGGGATGTTCTCTTGACCTTGCTGAAGTCAAAACAGAGAAGGAATGGATAGTTTAAAATGTTTAGTTTTCTTGTGCACTTCAAAAGATGCTTTGAAAAAACCTTCAGTTATAAATAAGGTGTATATGTAGAATAGTTTTCCTACACTTGCTCCTAACTTCTTATATTTAGTCATAAATAAACAACACATTTTATTACCTTCTGTAAAAGTCCATTATTTTCGATCTACACAGTTTAAGTTACAAGTGTTATATTTGTCTAAATTATATTATTTGTTAAGTATGTTTATGTACTTTGATAAGGATATGCACTAACTCTACCATATTTCTTTCTCAGTACCAAGGGGGGAATGGCTCCAGTCCAGTAAGAGGCATACCTCCTGCAATCCGTTCTCCTCAGAATTCACATTCACATTCCGCCCCCTCTTCTGTAAGTTTGACCTCTACAAATCTCTTCATTCTCAGCATGCAGTACAAAAGTTCTCATTTACTAGAAGTAACCTACATTGATAAGTGCCTGCTAATAAATCTTTCCCACTATATTGTGGACTTTTCAAGAACTTTTGAGGACAAAATCTGTTCTTTTTAACAAAAGAAAACATTAATTAAGTTCAAATTTTAGGAAGTGTGTTCCAAAAATTTTAGTTTTAAAAATTAGTATTATTGTCCTGAAGTGCCACTCTTAGGCTAAGTACAGACATTTGGGGAGGTTAAATCAGGTTCAGAATGGCTGCCCGATTTAAACTTAGCTCACCTCAGTGCCAGCCTTACACTTACAGACCCAGTCTCGGTGACTGGCAATCAGTCTAAACCTGCAACTGTACACAAACCAGTCTAAAAATTGCAGAACCTAGTTTAAGATAAACCTAGTTTCATAGTTAGTAGAGTCAGTAGGGACCTGAGCAGATCATCAAGTCCAACCTCCTGCCATGGGCAGGAAAGAGTACTGGGGTCAAATGACCCCAGCTAGGTGATTTATCTAGCCTCCTTTTGGAGACCCCCAGGGTAGGAGCAAGCATGATTTCCCTTGGAAGTTGGTTCCAGGTCCTAGCCGCCCTGACTGTGAATTAGTGCTTCCTGCTGTCTAGCCTGAATCTACTCTTGGTTAACTTATGGCCATTATTCCTTGTCACTCCTGGTAGTGCTTGGGGGAACAGGGACTCTCCCATTGCCTGCTGGTCTTCCTTGGACAGTTTATAATGGCCACCAGATCCCCTCTCAGCCTTCTCTTGTGGAGGCTGAACAGGTTTAGGACCCATAGCCTCTCCTCGTAGGGTCTGCCCTGCTGCCCCCGATCATGTGAGTGGCCCTCCTCTGGACCTTCTCAATGCTGTCCACATTTTTCCTGAAGTGCGGTGCCCAGAACTGGACACAATACTTCAACTGCGGCCTGACCAATATCGCATAGAGGGGGGAGATCATCTCCTTGGACCTGCTCATGATGCATCTGTGGATGCATGACAAGGTGCAGTTAGCTTTCCTAACTGCATCCCTACATTGGCAGCCCATGTTCATTTTGGAATCAATAATGACTCCAAGATCCTTTTCTGCCTCTGCACTGAAGAGAAGGGAGTTCCCCAACCTGTAGGTATGTTGCTGGTTCTTCCTCCCCGGGTGCAGTACCTTGCACTTGTCAGTATTGAAACCCATCCTGTTCTCATCCGCCCACCTCTGTAACCTGTCCAGATCTAGTTGTAGCCTGTCCCTCTCTTCTAGCATACCCACTTCTCCCCACGTTTTAGTGTCATCCGCAAACTTGAACAAGGTGCTTTTCACCTCCTTGTCCAAGTCGCTGATGATGTTGAACAGTGTGGGCCTGAGGACTGAGCCCTGGGGAACCCCACTGCCCACATCCCTCCAGGTTGAAAATGACCCATCCACTACCACTCTCTGGGTGCGGCTCTCCAGCCAGTTGGTGACCCATCTGACTGTGTAGGCGTTGACACCACAGTCACCTAGTTTTTTAATGAGAATGGGGTGAGAGAGTGTCGAAGGCCTTCCTAAGGTCCAGAAAGACTACGTCCACCGCAACACCTTTGTCCAAGGATTTTGTGACTTAGTCCTAGAAGGCAGTCAGGTTGGTCTGACAGCACCTGCCTCTAATGAACCCATGTTGATTGCACCTAAGCATAATCTCCTCTGCTAGTCCTTCACAGATGTGTACCTGGATAATTTTTTCAAAGAGCTTTCCCAAGACTGATGTAAGACTGAGCCTATAGTTTCTTGGGTCCTCCTTCCTCCCTTTTTTGAAAATGGGGACCACATTGGCCCTCTTCCAGTCTTCTGGCTCCTGGCCAGGGCACCACGAGTGCTCATAAAGCTGTGCCAGGGGTCCCGCAATGACCTCTGCCAATTCCCTTAGCACTCTGGGGTGGAGATTGTCTGGACCTGCTGATTTGAACATGTCTAGTCCCACCAGAAGTTCCCTGACCCTGGGTCTGTCCAGGATCCAGTGGTGGGGATGTCCCGGTCCCCGCTCAGAAAAATGGGGGCAAAGAATTTGTTAAAGAGGTTAGCTTTGTTGTCTGGTGCAACCACCACATTCCCAAGCATGTCCTGCAGAGGCCTCACGTTACCCGGTACTTTCTTTTTACCCCCTATGTATTTAAAAAAGGACTTCTTGTTATCTTTGATCTGGGTCACTAGTCCCAGTTTTGTGTCCGCCTTAGCCTTCCTAACAGTCCCCCTACAATCTTGAGCAATGGAGGTATAATCCTCATTGGTGATGGCCCCTCCCTCCCACTGGGTGTATGCCTCCTTTTTAGCTTTGAGATTTCCCTGGATGCTTCTGGTGAGCCATGGGGGCTTTTGAGCACTCTTACACCCTTTGATCTGCATTGGGATTGTCACCCTTTGGGCCTGGAGGATTGTCTCCTTCAGGAACAACCACTTGTCTCAGACTCCCAACTCCCCTTCCCTCTGGGACCTCAGTGCCTCCCTGACTAGTCTCCTTACTTCATTGAAATCAGCCCTCCTGATGTCCAGGGCTGCTGCCTTGCTGCAGGCCTTTGCCACCCTGCACTGGATGGTGAATTCCAGCAGGCGATGATCACTATCGCTCACGTGGTTGAGAACCTGCAGTCCCCTCGCCAGGTCGTCGCCTGTGGCCAGCACCAGGTCCAACAAGGCATTTCCCCTGGTGGGACTGCACACCTCCTGGGTTAGATGAAGGTCCTGTAACTCGACTAGGAACCTGCGTGAGTGGTGAGACCTGGCTTACTGCTCTTCCCAGCAAATGTCCAGATAGTCTAGGTCACCCATGATGACCACGTCCCTTGAATTAACTGTCTCCGTGAGCAGACCTGAGAATTCCCTGTCCAGCTCTTCCCCCGGTTGGATGGCCTGTAATAGACCCCCACCGTTAAGTCCCTTTCCCTCCAGCCCCCTTGTATTCTGACCCAGAGCACTTCAGTCTGCCCCTCCTCTGACCCAGTGCTGTTTGCTATGGATGTATAATGCTCTTTGACATAGAGCACCACACCCTTACCTTTCCTTCCTGTTCTATCCCACCTGCACAGCCTATAGCCCTTGATGTTTACCACCTAGTCGTGCGTTGGATCCCACCAAGTTTCAGTGAGTCCCACTATGTCTGGGTTTGTGTTAGCTAGCAGGAGGGCAAGTTCCTGCTGTTTGTTCCCCATACTACAAGCATTAGCATAGAGACATTTAGGGCCTCCTGAGGGTGTATGCACCCCCCCCCAAATCCCAGGATTATCCGGTCCCCTGTCTCTTACCTGGGTACTTCTTGTGCTCATCGCCTGTCTTGGCTGGGTTGTTCTTGTGGGTGTCTCTTGGTTCGTTGTTCTGTGGCTCCTTCCATCCTCATCCTCCTCTTCCCCCGATGAGCCTAGTTTAAAGCCCGCCGGAGATCAGCCAACCTGAAAGAGAACACACGCTTACCTTTGGGGGAGAAGTAAAGGCCATCCCACCTGAGCATGTCTCTTGTTCTGAAGTATGGGTTGTGGTCCAGAAAGCTGAAGCCTGCCTCGAGGCACCATTTCTGAAGCTGCAAGTTGACTTCCCTGATGCAGGTCTCATGGCGTCATCCACGTCTGCTCACTGGAAGGACAGATGAGACTACCACCTGTGCCCCTATCTCATTCAGCTTGCCCCCCAGAACTTGGTAGTCCTTCATCAGGTGATCTGGGCTGCTCCTGGCCTATGTAGTGTCAAATTTATTCAATTTAAATCAAACCGGTACATGGAACTTCTATACACTTACACTTTCACTGCACAGCCCTGGCTGCTCTTTTTATTCCCCCCACACCACTCCCCTAGGCTATTTTTTGCTAAGTCCCCCCAACAGGACAGCTTCTCCTTAATGAGCAGAGCCAAACACGTTCCATTCTGTTAATAAG